CATTTGCTAGTCTAAGCTCCACCCTGAGGGGTCCAGGAGCAGCTACTGGTGGAGGTGGAGGAACAGGGTTGACCTCCACAACCAGAGCTTCCACAGAAGTACCAGAGTACCTACACTGGAAGAGAAGCCTGGAAAACAAACAGTGAGCTTGTAGCATTTGCCAAGGATTAACAAATGTGCTAAAGAATACGTCACCCACTCAAAATGGCTGTCCCTTGTGATGGAACCAAGTGGTCCGATACCCACTTCATACGAGGAGGACATTCTGTTTTCATACACCACATATCCACTGTCCTCCTGCAAATAGTAACACTGTTGGCATCCAGTCCATTCTAAGCCATGCAGAACAAAACCACAAGCAGCTACTCACTGTCATGCTCGTGCCGCACGCAGTGACAGGGAACTGGTATATAGCAAAGAAAGGTGTGGATCCCACAGGACTGCAAGCTGGATCATTTCCACCCAGGAGACGGACTGAATCCAGGCTCAAACGAGGCAGCGTGACATCTCTAGCCACCACTACCACAAACTGACCATCTCTTATACACTGGACAGTGACTGGAACAAGGTACAAGAGCTGGTTATTGATGAGGATCAGTTTAACAAGAAACACCTTTACATTGACTCAACACTCTTACCGGCCTTCCCATAGTAACACTGCTGTCCGTTAAAGCAGCAGTTAATAGCTGCACACTCAGCACCACTGATACCAGGTGGTCCACATTGGATCTGCTCATAATCAGCTACAGCACATTTGTCAAGGGGCTCTGCCTGTGCCACTGGCTGTTTAGGCTGAAACTGCTGAGGATACTGTTGACTAGCTTGCTGTTGAACTGACTGAGGATACTGTTGACTAGCTTGTTGAACTGACTGAGGATACTGCTGACTAGCTTGCTGTTGAACTGGCTTAGAAAACTGTTGACTAGCTTGTTGAACTGACTGAGGATACTGCTGACTAGCTTGCTGTTGAACTGGCTTAGAAAACTGTTGACTAGCTTGCTGTTGAACTGGCTTAGGATACTGTTGATTAGCTTGCCGTTGAACTGACTGAGGAAACTGTTGACTAGCTTGATGTTGAACTGGCTTAGAAAACTGTTGACTAGCTTGCCATTGAACTGACTGAGGAAACCGCTGGTCAGTTTGCTGGAACATCAGAGCTTGAGGACTTTGGGGCAGATTACTCCACTTTGGAACGGCATGGCAGAAAGCACAGAACCAAACACAAAGTGCCAGAGACTGAACAACACACCAACTTCCTGCCATTGTTCAACAGCTAGTCACACTGTTGAGATGCTGCCCTTTGGTCTTTTTGTACTCTACAGATTTTGGCTAATTAACGATAATCCCTCCCTTTTCATTAACAGTCATGATTCTCCAGACTTGCATGAGTGTGGAGTTTATGCAACTGGGTGTTTCCATTTGTTCTTAAGATTCAATTGCCCTTGTTTTTCCACCCTTTTGGAACATACATAGAATGCACATATTGAGCTTATTTCAGAATAGTTTACTAGTACTATTTCTGCCGTTCAGAATTCAGCCTTTGTTTTATGCTTCATCCTGTGAATGTAATGGTAGTGGTGGGCAGATCGAGGCTTCATGAAACACTGAAAAAGTTGAAGCAAATGTGCCGTATTGTGTCGAGGCTTCGAAACAATCCGACACCTGTCTCCATGGTGACCCCTAGATGTCAGAACAGTGTAAATGCAACAAAAACCCGGGCCAAACATGCATAAAAACCCCTTTTACAAATCTATTGCAAATGTTTTATTGAAAGTAAAATCTTTCAAATGTAATTATCTAATCATCTAACAAGATTATCAAGTGTTTATATGTTTTTTTATCAATTGGAACCTGTGATAAACGCTGATGGCGTTCACATGCGCATTAAGAATTGATTCTGTTATGTGTGTTTGAATATATGTGCGCAGGTTTGTAATTCCCTACAAACCATACCTAAACAAACTACTTGTCTTGCCTATAAATTTTGATACAGAATTTTATTTTATTTTATTTTATCACTTCGGGGTTGGTACGTGAACCCTAATTTCCACAACGCTTTATCTGTAGAGTGGAATAGGAATCCTCCATAGGGAGAGGATAGTTGACATTTCAGCACTGCGTTGTCATCGGGTCCAGGCGAAGGTCCTTCGTCAGATCTGGAAAAGGCCTGGATCCGGCAGGCTGCGGGAAAACCTCGGGATAAACATAGACACTGAAATTAGCGTAGATGCCATTCTTCTTATGATGTAACGAGTACATCAGGATTTAAGGGAAGTGTTCCCAGTTCCAGCTGACCTAATCTATGCAGCCTAACATTGAATTATAGAAGTCGATAATGTATTATGTGAATGCTAGGTCAAAGAGATGTGTTTTTAGTCTAGCTTTGAACTGACAGAGTGTGTCTGCTTCCCGGACAATGGTAGGAAGACTGTTCCAAAGTTTTGGTGCTAAATAGGAAAAGGATCTACCGCCAGCAGTCGATTTTGATATTCTAGGTATTATCAACTGGCCGGAATTTTGAGATCGCACTAGACGTGAAGGACTATAATGCGTTAAGAGCTCGCTCAAGTACTGCAGAGCTAAACCATTTAGTGCTTTGTAACTAATCAGCAATATTTATAAATGTATTCAATGTTTAATAGGGAGCCAATGCAGTGTTTATTGAACCAGACTAATATGGTCATACTTCCTGGTTCTGGTAAGAACTCGAGCTGCAGCGTTTTGAACCAGCTGTAGTTTGTTTATTAAGCGTGCAGGGCAACCACCCAGTAGAGCATTACAGTAATCTAGCCTTGAGGTCATGAAAGCATTAACTAATTGTTCCGCATTTTTCATTGAAAGCATATGGCGTAATTTAGATATATTTTTAAGATGGAAGAATGCGGTTTTACAGATACTAGAAACGTGACTTTTAAATGAAAGATTGGTATCAAAGAGCACACCCAGGTTCCTAACTGACGACGAGGACTTCACAGAGCAGCCATCAAGTGTTAGACAGTATTCTAGGTTATTACGTGAGGAAGTTTTTTGGCCAATAATTAGAATCTATGTTTTTTCAGAATTTAGTAGTAGGAAATTACTAGTCATCCAATTTTTTATGTCAGCAATGCATTCCGTTAATTTTGTGACTTGGTGCGTTTCGTCGGGGCACGAAGAAATATACAGCTGAGTATCATCAGCATAACATGGGGTGGTGATGGCGCAGTGGATAAGACACATGCCTTTGGTGTGGCCACCCGGGTTCGAATCCACTGTGAGACACCAATGTGTCCCTGAGCAAGACACTTAACCCCTAGTTGCTCCAGAGGCGTGCAACCTCTGACATATATAGCAATTGTAAGTCGCTTTGGATAAAAGTGTCAGCTAAATGAATAAATGTAAATAACAGTGAAAACTAATTCCATGTTTCCTAATGATATCTCCTAATGGTAGCATGTACAGAGTGAACAGCAGCGGTCCTAGTACTGAGCCTTGTGGTACGCCATACTGAAATTGTGATCGATAAGACATCTCTTCATTTACTGCTACAAACTGATACAGTCAGATAAGTATGATTTAAACCATGCTAGTGCAATTCCATTAATGCCAACATAGTTTTCTAATCTATTTAAAAGAATGTTGTGGTCAATGGTGTCAAATGCAGCACTAAGATCAAGTAACACTAATAGAGAGATACAACCACGATCGGATGATAAGAGCAAATCATTTGTGACTCTAACAAGAGCTGTCTCGGTACTATGGTACGGTCTAAATCCGGACTGAAAATCCTCGCAGATATCATTTCTTTCAAGAAAGGAACACAGTTGTGAGGATACTGCTTTTTCTAATATCTTTGACAGAAAAGGCAGATTCGAGATCGGCCTGTAATTGACTAATTGTATGATCAAGTTGCGTTTTTTTAACAAGCGGTTTAATCATAGCCAGCTTAAAGGTTTTTGGTACGTATCCTAGAGACAAAGATGAATTAATGATATTAAGAAGAGGATCTATGACATCTGGAAGCATCTCTTTCAGTAGCTTAGTCGGTATAGGGTCTAACATACAAGTTGCCAATTTAGATGGTTTAACGAGTTTGCAAAATTCTTCCTCTCCTATAGCAACAAATGAATCAAATTGTCAGTGTCACAAGATCCTTTAGAAATCATTCAAATTTGCGGCTCAAACATTTCTGATTTTTATCAATGCTTTGCCACTGTCTGCCAGCATTGAGTTTGTGACTGAGATTGGGACTCACTTCCCTGACTATGTTCACTGTGGTCTGGAGATGCACACGAACATCTATCATTAGAGCGAAGCTCTCGGTGACAACAGCCAGCTCAAGCTCTCCATTCCAGCTCCGCATGGGCCAATTGAACTCATCAGCGTCACAAGACATCTGGAAATGGATTATATTAATGCAATAAAGGGATTTAAAAGCCCTTCACACAACCAGTAGGGCTGCACAATGATGGTTAAACTGATAATCATGATTTTACTCATTTGAGAAACTTCTTGTTTTGTCAGAATTATTGCACTTTCATGAACACAAATCAAGAGAACGTCAACTCATATGCAGGGTTTATTTGCCAGAAATACTGTAACTCACAATACCAAGAAACTCACAATTGTGAAAAATAAGTAAGAAATGTGAAATAAGTCACAATTACTGTTATATTTTATTCCTTGGCAAAACAAACTGCGAGGAAAAAAGTCTGCACCCTGCTATATAAAATATTGAGGAACCCAGGTTTGCAACTGGAGCATGGCAAGTACAACCTTGCTAAAGCAAAAATGTAACTTTGGTTTAGTAGTGTGGCCCAATAAATAAAACCAAGAACAGTCATGTAAGATCCGATTTGTTGAAAATCAATACCAGTTTATTAAATCTAAATTCACATGACCAGGTTAACTTCTCCACTAGACACCACAGTTTGCCCACTAGAGATGGTCTTGATGGGAGTGTCCCTTCCTGTAAAAGAAGTGGTAGAAGCATGAGGAGCATTTAAATACCAAATTCTCACAGTTCCCAAGTCGGTTTACAGCAAGCACTCACTTTTCCTAGTGCAGCTTTGCTCACAGGAGCCAGAAGAGGGATGGCACACTGCTGTACTACAGTGGATGAAGATCTAACAGAGGGGGAAAGGGTTTAGCCATAGAATTCACTATAAAAAGTACTAATATTAAGGATTGAGGTAAGGCTGCGGAGCATACGGTTTCCTGCAGAGGAGCCAGTGATGATGGATCAACAAATGTGAACATCTTCACAATAAAGCGCTTGTAGTGGGTTGGGAACTGAAGACCAGACGATCCAGTCACTGGAACCAATGTGGTCAGGTAACGATCATCCTGGTAAGGGCATCTGAAAGGCAAAGAGGGAATCAGAAACACCTTACAGCACACTAGATGGATAAAGACTGGCCTTACTCACCCATCAACCAGAAGGTCCCATTGGGGTAGACTGAGTGGACTGGGGGTTGATGTCGCCCAGCAATGTCCCAGCATCAGGACAATGTTGGGGTCGGTCCTCTCCAAAACGTGCACCTCAACATACACAGGCTCCCGCAGGACTTTTGTAACAGGATAATCAGCATCACTGTAGTAGGAAGTGTACGCCTCGTCCCCTGAGGAAGAATAGTGTTTAACCAGAAACCGCTGCAACCTGGAGCTTTAGAAAGGCTTTAGGCACACACTTGGGTCAAACACTTACCTTCTGCACAGCCTTTGGTGACACACTGACCATTTGCTAGTCTAAGCTCCACCCTGAGGGGTCCAGGAGCAGCTACTGGTGGAGGTGGAGGAACAGTGTTGACCTCCACAACCAGAGCTTCCACAGAAGTACCAGAGTACCTACACTGGAAGAGAAGCCTGGAAAACAAACAGTGAGCTTGTAGCATTTGCCAAGGATTAACAAATGTGCTAAAGAATACGTCACCCACTCAAAATGGCTGTCCCTTGTGATGGAACCAAGTGGTCCGATACCCACTTCATACGAGGAGGACATTCTGTTTTCATACACCACATATCCACTGTCCTCCTGCAAATAGTAACACTGTTGGCATCCAGTCCATTCTAAGCCACGCAGAACAAAACCACAAGCAGCTACTCACTGTCATGCTCGTGCCGCACGCAGTGACAGGGAACTGGTATATAGCAAAGAAAGGTGTGGATCCCACAGGACTGCAAGCTGGATCATTTCCACCCAGGAGACGGACTGAATCCAGGCTCAAACGAGGCAGCGTGACATCTCTAGCCACCACTACCACAAACTGACCATCTCTTATACACTGGACAGTGACTGGAACAAGGTACAAGAGCTGGTTATTGATGAGGATCAGTTTAACAAGAAACACCTTTACATTGACTCAACACTCTTACCGGCCTTCCCATAGTAACACTGCTGTCCGTTAAAGCAGCAGTTAATAGCTGCACACTCAGCACCACTGATACCAGGTGGTCCACATTGGATCTGCTCATAATCAGCTACAGCACATTTGTCAAGGGGCTCTGCCTGTGCCACTGGCTGTTTAGGCTGAAACTGCTGAGGATACTGTTGACTAGCTTGCTGTTGACCAGCTTGCTGTTGAACTGACTGAGGATACTGTTGACTAGCTTGTTGAACTGACTGAGGAAACTGTTGACTAGCTTGCTGTTGAACTGACTGAGGATACTGTTGACTAGCTTGTTGAACTGACTGAGGATACTGCTGACTAGCTTGCTGTTGAACTGGCTTAGAAAACTGTTGACTAGCTTGTTGAACTGACTGAGGATACTGCTGACTAGCTTGCTGTTGAACTGGCTTAGAAAACTGTTGACTAGCTTGCTGTTGAACTGGCTTAGGATACTGTTGATTAGCTTGCCGTTGAACTGACTGAGGAAACTGTTGACTAGCTTGATGTTGAACTGGCTTAGAAAACTGTTGACTAGCTTGCCATTGAACTGACTGAGGAAACCGCTGGTCAGTTTGCTGGAACATCAGAGCTTGAGGACTTTGGGGCAGATTACTCCACTTTGGAACGGCATGGCAGAAAGCACAGAACCAAACACAAAGTGCCAGAGACTGAACAACACACCAACTTCCTGCCATTGTTCAACAGCTAGTCACACTGTTGAGATGCTGCCCTTTGGTCTTTTTGTACTCTACAGATTTTGGCTAATTAACGATAATCCCTCCCTTTTCATTAACAGTCATGATTCTCCAGACTTGCATGAGTGTGGAGTTTATGCAACTGGGTGTTTCCATTTGTTCTTAAGATTCAATTGCCCTTGTTTTTCCACCCTTTTGGAACATACATAGAATGCACATATTGAGCTTATTTCAGAATAGTTTACTAGTACTATTTCTGCCGTTCAGAATTCAGCCTTTGTTTTATGCTTCATCCTGTGAATGTAATGGTAGTGGTGGGCAGATCGAGGCTTCATGAAACACTGAAAAAGTTGAAGCAAATGTGCCGTATTGTGTCGAGGCTTCGAAACAATCCGACACCTGTCTCCATGGTGACCCCTAGATGTCAGAACAGTGTAAATGCAACAAAAACCCGGGCCAAACATGCATAAAAACCCCTTTTACAAATCTATTGCAAATGTTTTATTGAAAGTAAAATCTTTCAAATGTAATTATCTAATCATCTAACAAGATTATCAAGTGTTTATATGTTTTTTTATCAATTGGAACCTGTGATAAACGCTGATGGCGTTCACATGCGCATTAAGAATTGATTCTGTTATGTGTGTTTGAATATATGTGCGCAGGTTTGTAATTCCCTACAAACCATACCTAAACAAACTACTTGTCTTGCCTATAAATTTTGATACAGAATTTTATTTTATTTTATTTTATCACTTCGGGGTTGGTACGTGAACCCTAATTTCCACAACGCTTTATCTGTAGAGTGGAATAGGAATCCTCCATAGGGAGAGGATAGTTGACATTTCAGCACTGCGTTGTCATCGGGTCCAGGCGAATGTCCTTCGTCAGATCTGGAAAAGGCCTGGATCCGGCAGGCTGCGGGAAAACCTTGGGATAAACAAAGACACTGAAATTAGCGTAGATGCCATTCTTCTTATGATGTAACGAGTACATCAGGATTTAAGGGAAGTGTTCCCAGTTCCAGCTGACCTAATCTATGCAGCCTAACATTGAATTATAGAAGTCGATAATGTATTATGTGAATGCTAGGTCAAAGAGATGTGTTTTTAGTCTAGCTTTGAACTGACAGAGTGTGTCTGCTTCCCGGACAATGGTAGGAAGACTGTTCCAAAGTTTTGGTGCTAAATAGGAAAAGGATCTACCGCCAGCAGTCGATTTTGATATTCTAGGTATTATCAACTGGCCGGAATTTTAAGATCGCACTAGACGTGAAGGACTATAATGCGTTAAGAGCTCGCTCAAGTACTGCAGAGCTAAACCATTTAGTGCTTTGTAAGTAATCAGCAATATTTATAAATGTATACAATGTTTAATAGGGAGCCAATGCAGTGTTTATTGAACCAGACTAATATGGTCATACTTCCTGGTTCTGGTAAGAACTCGAGCTGCAGCGTTTTGAACCAGCTGTAGTTTGTTTATTAAGCGTGCAGGGCAACCACCCAGTAGAGCATTACAGTAATCTAGCCTTGAGGTCATGAAAGCATTAACTAATTGTTCCGCATTTTTCATTGAAAGCATATGGCGTAATTTAGATATATTTTTAAGATGGAAGAATGCGGTTTTACAGATACTAGAAACGTGACTTTTAAATTAAAGATTGGTATCAAAGAGCACACCCAGGTTCCTAACTGACGACGAGGACTTCACAGAGCAGCCATCAAGTGTTAGACAGTATTCTAGGTTATTACGTGAGGAAGTTTTTTGGCCAATAATTAGAATCTATGTTTTTTCAGAATTTAGTAGTAGGAAATTACTAGTCATCCAATTTTTTATGTCAGCAACGCATTCCGTTAATTTTGTGAATTGGTGCGTTTCGTCGGGGCACGAAGAAATATACAGCTGAGTATCATCAGCATAACATGGGGTGGTGATGGCGCAGTGGATAAGACACATGCCTTTGGTGTGAAAGACCCGGGTTCGAATCCACTGTGTGACACCAATGTGTCCCTGAGCAAGACACTTAACCCCTAGTTGCTCCAGAGGCGTACAACCTCTGACATATATAGCAATTGTAAGTCGCTTTGGATAAAAGTGTCAGCTAAATGAATAAATGTAAATAACAGTGAAAACTAATTCCATGTTTCCTAATGATATCTCCTAATGGTAGCATGTACAGAGTGAACAGCAGCGGTCCTAGTACTGAGCCTTGTGGTACGCCATACTGAAATTGTGATCGATAAGACATCTCTTCATTTACTGCTACAAACTGATAACGGTCAGATAAGTAGATTTAAACCATGCTAGTGGAATTCCACTAATGCCAACATAGTTTTCCAGTCTATTTAAAAGAATGTTGTGGTCAATGGTGTCAAATGCAGCACTAAGATCAAGTAACACTACTAGAGAGATACAACCACGATTGGATGATAAGAGCAAATCATTTGTGACTCTAATGAGAGCTGTCTCGGTACTATGGTACGGTCTAAATCCGGACTGAAAATCCTCGCAGATATCATTTCTTTCAAGAAAGGAACACAGTTGTGAGGATACTGCTTTTTCTAATATCTTTGACAGAAAAGGCAGATTCGAGATCGGCCTGTAATTGACTAATTGTATGATCAAGTTGCGTTTTTTAACAAGCGGTTTAATCATAGCCAGCTTAAAGGTTTTTGGTACGTATCCTAGAGACAAAGATGAATTAATGATATTAAGAAGAGGATCTATGACATCTGGAAGCATCTCTTTCAGTAGCTTAGTCGGTATAGGGTCTAACATACAAGTTGCCAATTTAGATGGTTTAACGAGTTTGCAAAATTCTTCCTCTCCTATTGCAACAAATTAATCAAATTGTCAGTGTCACAAGATCCTTTAGAAATCATTCAAATTTGCGGCTCAAACATTTCTGATTTTTATCAATGCTTTGCCACTGTCTGCCAGCATTGAGTTTGTGACTGAGATTGGGACTCACTTCCCTGACTATGTTCACTGTGGTCTGGAGATGCACACGAACATCTATCATTAGAGCGAAGCTCTCGGTGACAACAGCCAGCTCAAGCTCTCCATTCCAGCTCCGCATGGGCCAATTGAGCTCATCAGCGTCACAAGACATCTGGAAATGGATTATATTAATGCAATAAAGGGATTTAAAAGCCCTTCACACAACCAGTAGGGCTGCACAATGATGGTTAAACTGATAATCATGATTTTACTCATTTGAGAAACTTCTTGTTTTGTCAGAATTATTGCACTTTCATGAACACAAATCAAGAGAACGTCAACTCATATGCAGGGTTTATTTGCCAGAAATACTGTAACTCACAATACCAAGAAACTCACAATTGTGAAAAATAAGTAAGAAATGTGAAATAAGTCACAATTACTGTTATATTTTATTCCTTGGCAAAACAAACTGCGAGGAAAAAAGTCTGCACCCTGCTATATAAAATATTGAGGAACCCAGGTTTGCAACTGGAGCATGGCAAGTACAACCTTGCTAAAGCAAAAATGTAACTTTGGTTTAGTAGTGTGGCCCAATAAATAAAACCAAGAACAGTCATGTAAGATCCGATTTGTTGAAAATCAATACCAGTTTATTAAATCTAAATTCACATGACCAGGTTAACTTCTCCACTAGACACCACAGTTTGCCCACTAGAGATGGTCTTGATGGGAGTGTCCCTTCCTGTAAAAGAAGTGGTAGAAGCATGAGGAGCATTTAAATACCAAATTCTCACAGTTCCCAAGTCGGTTTACAGCAAGCACTCACTTTTCCTAGTGCAGCTTTGCTCACAGGAGCCAGAAGAGGGATGGCACACTGCTGTACTACAGTGGATGAAGATCTAACAGAGGGGGAAAGGGTTTAGCCATAGAATTCACTATAAAAAGTACTAATATTAAGGATTGAGGTAAGGCTGCGGAGCATACGGTTTCCTGCAGAGGAGCCAGTGATGATGGATCAACAAATGTGAACATCTTCACAATAAAGCGCTTGTAGTGGGTTGGGAACTGAAGACCAGACGATCCAGTCACTGGAACCAATGTGGTCAGGTAACGATCATCCTGGTAAGGGCATCTGAAAGGCAAAGAGGGAATCAGAAACACCTTACAGCACACTAGATGGATAAAGACTGGCCTTACTCACCCATCAACCAGAAGGTCCCATTGGGGTAGACTGAGTGGACTGGGGGTTGATGTCGCCCAGCAATGTCCCAGCATCAGGACAATGTTGGGGTCGGTCCTCTCCAAAACGTGCACCTCAACATACACAGGCTCCCGCAGGACTTTTGTAACAGGATAATCAGCATCACTGTAGTAGGAAGTGTACGCCTCGTCCCCTGAGGAAGAATAGTGTTTAACCAGAAACCGCTGCAACCTGGAGCTTTAGAAAGGCTTTAGGCACACACTTGGGTCAAACACTTACCTTCTGCACAGCCTTTGGTGACACACTGACCATTTGCTAGTCTAAGCTCCACCCTGAGGGGTCCAGGAGCAGCTACTGGTGGAGGTGGAGGAACAGTGTTGACCTCCACAACCAGAGCTTCCACAGAAGTACCAGAGTACCTACACTGGAAGAGAAGCCTGGAAAACAAACAGTGAGCTTGTAGCATTTGCCAAGGATTAACAAATGTGCTAAAGAATACATCACCCACTCAAAATGGCTGTCCCTTGTGATGGAACCAAGTGGTCCGATACCCACTTCATACGAGGAGGACATTCTGTTTTCATACACCACATATCCACTGTCCTCCTGCAAATAGTAACACTGTTGGCATCCAGTCCATTCTAAGCCACGCAGAACAAAACCACAAGCAGCTACTCACTGTCATGCTCGTGCCGCACGCAGTGACAGGGAACTGGTATATAGCAAAGAAAGGTGTGGATCCCACAGGACTGCAAGCTGGATCATTTCCACCCAGGAGACGGACTGAATCCAGGCTCAAACGAGGCAGCGTGACATCTCTAGCCACCACTACCACAAACTGACCATCTCTTATACACTGGACAGTGACTGGAACAAGGTACAA